GTAACCATACTTTAAGAATCCCACAGAATTGTCAGCTGGGCAAAGGTTGCACACACGGGAGGCAGAGGCAAGTGGATCTCTGTGAGATCAAGGCCAACCTGGTGTACATAGCGAGTTTCAGGCCAGCTGGAGCTCAGGGAGGCCCTGTGTCAAAAAGACAAAAGAAAAATCCCACAGAATTGTCTTTCTTCCTCTTCTAATTCAATTCCTACCCACAATCTGTCTTCACACCTGGAAAGGGGAGTGTCTGGAGAATAAATATACGCCACTGTTTGTGATCATGTTGTATAACAAGGCATCAATGCAATTCATTCTAAGAAAAAAGAGCCTTTTGATTTGATCCAAGGGTATTATTATTAATTCAGGATTCTGGAAAGAGTCTTTATCCACAACCTACAGTATCCTCACTCCTTTGAGTCCCTTTTTTGTTGAGTGCTTGGGTTATAACAGTTCAAGGCCCCAAGAGAGGTAGGAATATCATATTGTTTGCAAAGAAAAGAGCCCTTTCCATAAATTATTTTCCAAAGGGAAATACTGGGGTATTTTTCAAGTGAGTCATCTGCTTAGATAGGCCACACTTGTCCATGTTCTCTTTCCATGAGGATCATCTCATTCGCTCTATTGTTCTTTGTTCAAAACACAAATTAGTAAGTACCAGACCATGGACTTAAACTGGAATCGCTGATCCAAACCACTCGAATGCATTTTACACAGAAGCCAGAGTGTCCAGGTCAGTGGTAGGACAACAGCTGGCAACCAGATAGCAGGGGAATTCCTCCCCTTTCCCAAAGTCCCTGTCTCTCCTGCTCATGCTGTCATATCATTGGTCCTGGAGATACCCAGGAATGGGGTACCCTTAAAAAATCTGGGCACTTACACAGACTGTGAAAGAAGAGAGGCAGGGGTCAGTGTGCTTCCCCAAAGCACATACCGGCCCTAGAAAAGGTCCAGAAGAAGCAAGTGACAGTGAGGACAAAGGACCAGAACTGGCTTCCTCTTATAAATAAGAAGACCCAGAGTGAAGAGACCAAGATGAATGAACAGTCGCCCTGTGCCCCGTCTTCCAGCTCTACACATAATCCTGCCTTCTTAAGTCTCTAGACTTAGAGTAAGCAACAACTAGAAGACACCTAAAATCAGCATCCCATCAGATCAAAGAAAAAGGCCAAAATGATCTTACTCTGGACTAAGATGGACCGAGGAGCCCCAGCTAATCCCAGAGGACAAGAGGTAACATGGGCTTTCTCCTAGGTTTGGGCCTTGCTCTGAGAGGGGGTAGTGAGTTGCAGCAGCAGTTCTGACTCATGGTCAAGGGCCCTCAGAGCAGGTGGGCTCCTTCCAGAGGCCAGATGAGGCTTTTGAACGTCAAGCCCCAGCATCTCTTCTATCCCTCAACTCAACCCCAGCAAAGAATACTGTGCCTGAAAACCCGAGTAAGATAGAACCAGCACATATTCGAAGCAGAACACAGAGCCCACCCAGGCAAAGCTCTGCTTTTGTAGTGGAGAAGAGTAAGTGTTCATCAGGGTCAGTTTGGCAGCTTTTAGCAAAGCAGAATCTCTTGACTCTGCTCGTCCCTCTTCACATGCCAGGCCAGACTGTCCAGGAGGGGGGGATGGGGATGAAAATGAAGGTAGGAGAGAAGTGGGGCTCAGAGAGAAGTCACACCAGCCTGGGCTAAGGATGCAGTGGCTATGCTTCTCAGAAGGGCTGTAGGAACATGAAGACTTTAAACTCTAAATGCGGTGCACGTTCAAAGGCCTAGAAACCCAGTCCCAGGAACTGAAACTGTCTCTTGCAGAAAGGATTCCTGAAGGTCATTGACAGGGAGGGTGACTGGAGTCATTCCATAGAAAGAAATCCTTCCAGCCCCCAATCTAGGCTGATAAGTAGCTGAAACATTTTATCACACACTCTCCGCTTCCTCATTACCCAGTGGAGGCAGCTTTGGCTCTTGAAGCTGAGATCTTGCCAAACCATTGAGCTTCAGAAGAACCGGGAGGTATAATGACATTGGCGTCAACACGTGCTGTTAGGACTTAGCACTTTGGAAAAATCAGCCTGGAGTGCCAGCCACACAGGGAGCCTGGACTTGGTGAATATTAATCAAACTAGGGACTAGGAACAGCCACACCTTCAGAGAGCCTGGGGAGGACAGGGGTAAGACAAGGGAAGGGCAGAAACTCCCTGGACAGTGCTCAATGGGGGCATGTTAAAGGGAGGACTTGAAGAGGTGAGAAGCCCAGGTCTTTTCAAACTAGCTACTCGGGGGCCCTTGCTAGTAAGATAGCCAAAGGCCCTAGTAGACATGGCCAGGCAGAGGCAGGTCAGATGACAAGCGAGCACTACAGGCCCAGCCCAGATCGCTTTCTCTTTTTCTCCTCTTTCCTTCTATTTCTTTCACCTCTTTACTCTCCCCCTTCTATGTTCTCTGCATGTTTTCCCTCCCACATTGCCTTTTCTCCTCCTTCAGTTCCATTCTGCACGGCCTTGATCCTGCATTGGCTTGTGGGTTTCTATGCTATAGTCTAGCTGGGAGTCTAGAGGGTTCCTTCCCTGTATACCAAGCCATTTACTTAAAATCAGTGCACTGATCATTCTAGAGACTAGTGAAGTGCATTTAAGTGACACAGAAAATACAACAGCACTGGTAGGTCCAGAGAACTACAGGGAACAGATAGATTCTAAGAAAAGAGTTCCAGTCAATCAAAAAGCACCCATGAAACCCAATGCAGACTGTAAAAGATGTGTAAAGCACAATCTCCGTCTTTTTAATCAGCAGGCAGTAACGAGCACCAAGCACTGAGCGGTGGCCCCTGTGGGGTACACTGTGGGACCACTGGGCTCCTGGTCACGGTAGCTAAGCACTGAGCTCACACAATGTTCTGGATCCTATTTCAGAGCCTAAAAGTAGAGGGATGAGACAAGGTCCACCTTCAGTGAATTCCTAAGGCCAGTGGGGGACAGTAAAGTGAATCAGATAGGACCAGGGCAGAGCAGAGAGGGTTTTCTAGAAGCCTATGGAGAAGAAACAGAAGCGCTCCCTAGTGCCAACAGGGTAAAGGTTTAATTGTAACGCCACCTTATTGACCAGAGGCACGTGAACAATGAAACAGAAGTTGCCCCCGGAAAAAGCCAACTCCCCTCTACAAGAAGAAAGGGGTAAGGAGGGGAGGGGATACCTGTACCCAGGAACACTGCACCCCATACTACTCCCACACAAGCTGTTCAGCAGTGACCCAAAAGCCATGTTGCCTTTTCACAGAGGAGAGCTGGATCCTGGAGCCTGCCTTTCCCAAGCTTCACAATTCCACTGCGTTCAGCCTCGGACGTGTATTCTTTGTCCTCTGTGATACCCCCACCTTAGTTCAGGGCTCCCCTCTGGCAAGTGGGTGCTGGAGCTGGAATCTCACAGAGGAAATTTTCTCTTTAACACAAAAATCTCATGAGTAAAGGGAAGGTAACCTTGCTGGCAGTGACCAAGCCAAGTGTGCCGACGTTGGAGTCAGGACAGAGCTCCTCTTTCCCAGGGCAGGCAGCTCTGGCCCTGCCTCTCTGGTAGATTTGCCAGCCTGCTCTGAGCACAGTGAGATTCCACAGTGAGAGTGCCCAGCCCGAGACATCACAACCCCCTACCCCATCCACACCCCTCACTCCAGCTTCTCACACGCCTCCCCTGGGTCTCTTGCCTTTGCTTTCAGATTTTGCAAGTTACCAGCCAGACGACAAGGTGGGAAATATTCCTCCTACTGTGCCTGCTCCATGGTGAGTCCACAACGGCAGCCCAGAGTCAGGCTGCAGAGACTGCTGGGGAGCCAGCAGTGGAATTCAGCCCAACCAGGCAGATCATTTTCATATGTTTTACAAACACGTGCCAGGTCCAGCAATAGTAACAAAGATGGAGTCCCTTAAATTGGCATAGTAGTGCATGCCTTTAATCCCAGCACTCAGGGGGCTGAGGCAGGCAGATCTCTGTGAGATTGAGGCCAGCCTCGTCTACATAATAAGTTCCAGGCCACCTGGGGCTACAGGGAGGCCCTGTTTCAACCCCCCAAAGTTCCTTATTCTACTCATAAAGAGTTCAGCCCACAAAGAAAACTTTAAAAATTTATTTATTCACTTATTTATTTAGCATACATTTATGAAGGGTTTAATTTGTGCCAGGAACAAAGGACAATTAAATGAGAGACAGGTCAGGTACAGATCAGGTTCAGAGGGCAAATAATCCTTTCTTCAAATGGTGGTATCCGGATTTTATTACAGAGAGTCACTGAGGAACACTGTGCCTGAAGTGTCTATTACCTAGAATATAGTCCCAGGTAGATACTTCACAAATTAATTATTAAATGCATTAGTGAGTGAGTAAAAATGCTATGGTAATACCAGAAAGGTATTATCAATGTTAATGAACCAACAGTAAGCACTGACTGCATGACATGTCACACCACAGTTTACCTTAATCTCCCACTGTCCGTCAGGCAGGTCCAGGACCTCTCTGTTCACATAGTTAATAGTCTTCGATTAATTTCTTTATGTCTCATGTGTTCTCAATTTTATGATTTTAAGTGTTCGGTTAAAATTTTGGGTGCTTTAATTTTCACTCAGAGACATGTCCCTGCACCCTCACCCCCTCCAGGCTCTGTAGACCAGGAAGGTGTGCAGTCTCTAGCTGTCATCTTCCCTCCTCCCTCTTTGCTCTGCCACTTAGACTCCAGCAGGGTTGGAACCAGCAGGAGCAGTGGGAGGCTGTGTTGCTCTTACTTGATAGAGTATTGGGGCAGGGGTTAGAGCTGACACCATACCTCGCCACCATGGATGTCTTTTTAGACATTTGGTGAACCCCCCCATAGCTCACTTCTCTCTTGGCCCAGGTTCATCCATGACCCCTCCAACCAGAAAACCCCATTTCAGATGGCTGCAGGCTGGCTCACTCCCTTCCAAGACCTACCTATGCACTATGGCATCAAACACATCTTCCCCCTGCTGGTGGCCTGAGAGTTCCTTCACAGGTACAACCCCTCCTTTCCCTTGGTCTGCCACAGGTCTCCTTTGTCAAACTGAAAGCAGGGGGAAATGTGATCCCTTTCAAGTATTATCCACAAAAGAATTTAAGAATGAAATCAAATTAAAGCTTTAGGACAATTTTATTAGAATTTAAAGAAAAGGCCTCAAGGCAAGCAAACTGTAAATCTCAGCAGCTACAAAAAAGCTATGTTGATTTACAGCTGGCGTGGAGGTCAGACATTGGTGGAACTGAAGCCACATGGTGGGGAATTTTAAAGAAAGAAAGCCCAAAATGTTGGGGCAGCCCAAAGTGTTAGGGGAAGCATGGTTAGAAGATATACAAGGTGGAAAGGGGAGATTACCATTTTCTGAAGAATTCAGGAATGCAGGCAGTTTTATGGAAATATGCATGTCTGTGGCCTGGTCCATAAGGTCCACTAGGGGGCAGAGATTCCAAGCAGGAAAAGCTCACCATCTCATTAGTACAGTATGTATTCCATCTATCTGTTTTCTGTGATTTAAGGTGAACCCGCATTTCTAGGTGTGGTACTGGGATGAGGTGATTGATGTGGCAAAGCAAAGTTAAGGCTCTACCCAGGCCAGAGTTTCTTATTCTTTTTAAAATATTTTATTTATTATGTTTATTTTATGTGTATGAGTGTATTGCCTGCATGTGTGAAGTGCACCCCTGTCGTGTAATGCCTGCGGAGGTCAGAAAAGAACATTGGGTCCCCTGGAACTGGAGTTACAGACAGTTGTTAGCTGCCAACCTAGGTCCTCTGCAAGAGCAGTCAGTGCTCTTAACTGCTGAGCCATCTCTCCAGCCCCCAGAGTTTCTTATTCTCTAACTTTCTCTTAAGGGACTTTATTTTGCTACTGTGACAAAACCGTGTCTTGTTGCAGTCTAGGGCTGCCTCAAATGTAAGCATCACATCCATCCCTAATTGTAGCCCCAATGGACATCATTACAACACAATACTACTTGGTAATGATCTATGGGTGAGACCTAGGACCTGACCTCCAATAAGAGGCAGAGAATTAGCATCAGGCCCCCAGGTAATGCCATATTCATCCTATGAAATTCTTTAATTCTCACAGGTAACTAATATACAATTCAGAAACCATTATTATGTAAAACCAAGAGCTATTGATTAGTAACCCACCACATGAGTACTTGAGGTATTGCTTATTAATTCTGGAATTAATAAAGAATTATGTGTATTGCAAGAGTTAGTCAAGGATTCTTAATCCACTTTCTACTGCAAAGTCAAGACTCTCATCTTCCCAATTATTGGAGCAGTGGTTCTCTCCAGTATACTGTAGGTAGGACACAAGGATTAGTGTGAACATTTTATCATTCTTATCCTAAGACAGTCCTGAATAATAATAACTATTCTTGCTATTTAATGATAAATTATGATACCATTAACCTTTATCATGAATGGTATGGTTCAGGGTACATTGTTTAACTAAGCTTTCAGTGGTACTGATGCAACTGTCAATAGCAATTATGACTGCTACTCTCCTGTAATTAGACCTTGGATCACACATAATAAGCAAGCCACATAAAAAATCTATCTGTATTCAAAAAGTGATTGGTTTAATGCTCTGCTAGTACCATCTTAAAATTCATTTGTTAAGCAGAGGCAGGTGAATCTCTGTAAGATAGAGGCCAGCCTAGTCTACATAGTGAGTTCCAGGCCAGCTGGGGATGCAGGGAGATCCTGTCTCAAACAAACAAACAAACAAACAAATTCTTTTGTTGCTGTTGTTGGTTAGTTTTTGTTTCCTTAGCCTAATTTTTTATTTTTAATTTTTTAGCATATATATCAATTATACAGAATAATGGGTTTCATTATGTCACTTCATATATATACACAGTGTATTTTGATCATTTTCATCCCTTATTACCCTCTTCTGTCCCCCCTCACTACAATTCCTTTCCTCTTTCTAAGTAGTCTACCTTCAACTTTCAAGAGAGAGAGAAAAAGAAAGAGAAAACCAATAACTAACTAGGGTTGCTTCCATGAGCAACTTACTACAGTGGCTACACCACTAAAGAAATGTCTCTCCCTGCCCAGCAATTATTAATGGCCAGTAGATCCTCGGAGAAGGGTGAGCCACATGAGGCTGTCCCCATAGCAGCCACTAGCTACCTATTAGTCCTCACAGAGGGGTGGGGCCACTTAAATGTTGAAAGATACAGTCTTGTGTAGGTGCACTCAGGTACCATAGCTGCTGTGAACTCATGCATCCATGTTCATCAGGGAGATTGGTTTATAACTTTCTTGTTGCTGTGTCTTTGGTTTTGATATGAAGGCAATACTGACTTTGTAATGAGAGCTCAGCAGTGTTCCCTTCTTCCTGTTTTATGGAATAGTTTGGGAAGCATTGGTGTCCGTTCTCTGAAAGCCTGGTAGACTTCATCGGTGAATCCATCTGGGCCTGGGTGTTTTTAGTCAGATTGTCTTATTCCTTCTTCCTCTCACTGCTCGTTATAGATCTGCTTAATTGTTTATCTCATCTTGGTTTCATTTTGGTCAGTCATGTACATCTAGGTATTCATCCACATCTTTAGGTTTATAGTTTATTAAAACATGCTTTAAGATCTGTTCTAATAACTTTCTGAATTCTATCAATATTTGTCATAATGGCTCCCTTCTCATCCCTAATTTTATTAATTTGGGTCTTCTCTTTCTTTCTCTTGCTTAATTTGGCTAAGGGTTTGTCAGTCTTGTTTATCTTTTCAAAGTACCAACCCTTAATTCATTGATTCTTCCTATTGTTTCTTTTTCAATTTTATTTCATTAATTTATGCCAAGATTCATAATTATTTCTATCTGCTGATTTGGGGTTTGGTCTGTTCTTGGGTTTTCTTTTTTGGTTTTTTTTTTTTTTTTTTTTTTTTTTTTTTTGAAAAAAAAAAAAAAAAAAAAAAGCTGGAACTCACTATATAGATCAGTCTGGCCTTGAACTCACAGAGATCCACCTGCCTCTGCCTCCTGCATGCTGAGATTAAAGGTGTGCACCACCACGCCCTGCATGTTCTTGTTTTTTTTTAAATATTTTTATTGAGTTTTTGTGCATTTCATATAATAGATCTTAATAAAATTGACCCCCTTCCCCATTCGTGTCTCCCTCCATCCCCTCCACTGGATTTCACATATTCTGTCACTTATGTTAAGTCCTATCCAGTCAAGCGTTTGTACCCAGATGTCACTCGGTTCAAGTTCAACCACTGGAGTCTAGTCAGTCTATCTAGAGTCACTCCCTTAAAAAGATCTACTCTCCCTCATCCTGCAGTAATCATTTGCCAATAGTTCAGCTAGGGTTGGTGTCTGCTGCCCATTTCCCTGCATCTGTGCTGGATTTTTGTCTGACTGAGTCAGCATGGGTCTTGTGCATGCTGTCACCATTGTTGTAAGTTCCTATGAGCAAGTTCCCAGTGGCCTGAAAGCTTCCATTCCCTTATGTTCATGCACTAACCCTGGCTCTTAAAATCTTTCCACCCCCTCTTCCACAATGGTCCCTAACCCCTGGGTGGGTGGTTTAATACAGGAGTCCTAACCAGGGACACACACTCTGCAGTCTCTTATTCTCTAAACGTAGCTAGCTGTGGCCTTCTGTGTGCATCGCACTCTGTTGTATGAGGAAGCTTCCCTGGTGAGAGTTGAGGTCTGTATTAGTATTCTCTCTACTCACTGTTCTGCTATGTTCCATGAGCCTTAAGTGCAGAGGTTCCACTGTAGATGTGTCACTTAGGGCTGGGCATCTCTCAGACATATTCTCTGTGTATGACCATTTGTGGAACTCTGTAATAGCCTGCTGCAAAAAGAAGTTTCTTTGATAAGTGTGTAAGGTCAGGGTGGTAGGCAGGTCTGTGGCAGGCAGATCAGGAGGTCATGGGCAAGGTGGGGGTTGTGACAACCTGTGGAGTGTCTAACAAACTATGCTGAAGGATTAAACTAGTCTGGGTTAGGAAGCTAGTCCAGAGATCTGAGGTGGAAGAGCAGGAGTGGGCCTGGGCTCAAGGCTAAAGGAGGGACCAAGTGCCTGTTTTTGTTTTTCCAAGAACCTAAGGTATATCATCATGTCATTTACTTGAATGTCTCTGGTTTTGTTTTTTTAATGTAGGTACTTAGAGCTATGACTTTCCCTCTTAAGACTATTTTCGTTGTATCCCAATAGGTTTTGCTGTGTTGTGTCTTCATTTTAATTCAATTCTAGGAATTTTTAACTTCCTTTTTTTTATTTCTTCTGTAATTCATTCACATTTCAATAGTGTGTTGTTTAATCGCTGAGACTTGCTTTGTGCCCTAATATATGATCTATTGGGCCTCTGACAAGAATGGATATTTGCAATGTTTGCATGGACTGTTCTTCGATATCTTTCAGAACATTAAACTGCTTGATCTATGATGTCATTTAACTTAGCTCTTTCTCTATTTTTAGTGTTGGGATGACCTGCCTATTGAGTAGGGTATTGAAATCACTTGCTATTACTGTGTTAGGGTTAATATGTGCCTTTACATCCAGTAGTATTTCTTTTTTAAATTTTATTTATTATTTTTATTCTTATTTTATGTGTATGCATGTATTGCATGCATGTAGGTAAGTGCACCCGTGTCGTGCAATGCTCGCAGAGGTCAGAAGAGGCTGTCGGATCCCCTGGAACTGGAGTTACAGACAGTTGTTAGCTGCCATACAGGTGCTGGGATTTGAACTTGAGTCTTCTGCAAGAACAACCAGTGTTCTTAACCACTGAGCCATCTCTCCAGCTCTCAGTAGTATTTATTTTATAAAACTGGGTGCACCCGTGTTCTATGTGTATTTAGAATTTAGATCTGTGTGTATTTAGGACATTTAGAATTGCAATATCCTCTTTAGGATTGTTCTCTCAATTATCATGAAATGAACTTTCTCTCTCCGGACTAGAACTCGTTTGAAGTCACTTTGTCAGATGTTAGAACAGTGACACCTGCTTGTTTCCTCACTTGGTTTGCTTGGAACAGTTTTTTTCTGTTCTCTGGCCCTAAGGGAACATCTAAACATACACAGTCTTCTTAGCAGCTCACAATGAGGGACCTGTAACCAGAAGCCACCAAAAAGATATCTGGGAATGAGAGAGAGAGAGAGAGAGAGAGAGAGAGAGAGAGAGAGAGAGAAATTTGGACATTCACCATGTACTGTCCCGTGTACCTCTCCCCTCTCTCCTCTGTACCAGTCCTGAAAGGGTAAGAGATCTCAGCAAAGCAGAGACCCAAGCTGTCTCTCTCCTCCATGGAGACCACGATGGAGGGAGCATGGCAGGAGGGACAAAGGCAAAGCCTTCAATTGGATAAAATACTTAAGTTTCAATCTTTCATCACATTGGGCTAGATGTATAGTTTTAGGCTAGACTAGACTTTGTTTTCCAAGGAGAAAATGAAAGCCACTATACACAAGATTATACCTGGTGTTTCATCAAGGAGCAGAGAGGCCCACAGGAAGAGTAAGAAAAGACAGAGAAACGATAAGCTTTGTTTCTGCTTATGCCCTATCAAATCAAAGTTTTTCTACATACTGACTATATATACTATGGTTCGGCTATGATTTGTCTTTATTCTTATTTCCAAAGCAGACATATTCATAATATTGCTCATATGTACTCTTATATAAATCTGTATTCTTGTACGCTTAGCTTTCTGTTTCTATAGAAAAATGGATATTATGAAAAAATGTTCAACCACTAACCTGAAAGATTTGCTTACCAAGCAGAGCAAGATTCCTCTTTCAGAATACTCTCCTTTTCAGAAGAAAAGCACATGATACACCCATACCATTTAGCATCTCTCTTTTACATTCTGTCAAACCAAAGCTGTTTGTCTGAAGTTACCCTGGCCCTCTTACACATATGTAGATGGAGCTTACTGGAATGAATGCAGGCTCTAGGTGGACTTCCATGAGAACATCGAGCACATCTAATACTGGATGAGATCCTCTCTTGGCTCATCTTCCTCAGTGGCCAAACTGTTGCATTTCTACACTGCTTCTGCTCCAATTTCACCATTGCATTTTCTGACCTAACCCTTCAGACTAGCTGAGTTTGTTATTCCTACCACTCCCTTCCTTTGACAATTTTCTGTCTGCAGATGCAAGTACACTGAGAGGACCAAGGCTGGTGTCTGGGGAGCCTGGGGGCACTGTCACCATCCAGTGCCATTATGTCCCCACTTCAGTGAATAGGCACCAAAGAAAATATTGGTGCCGCCTGGAGCCTCCATTGTGGATCTGCCGCACTATCGTGTCCACCAACCATTACACCCACCATGACTACCACGGCCGTGTGGCTCTCACTGACTTCCCACACAGTGGTCTGTTTGTGGTGAGGCTGTTCCAACTATCCCTGGGTGATATGGGGCCTTACCGATGTGGCATCGGAGACAGAAACAACATGCTGTTCTTCAACATGAATCTGACTGTGTTTGCAGGTATGGACTAATGATGGTCAAGCTTTGTAAACCCAAAGTTCAGAAGAAACAGGTACAAGAGAAGACTCAAAAATCCAAGAAGGCCTTAAGCATTGGGCAATAGAAAGGGAAGTAGGGGAAAACCCTAAGGGGTACACTTTAAGTTTAAATAGAAGTTACCTTCAGGAAGAAAGCAGATATTTGGAAAAATTCTCATCTGAATATATATGTGTGTGTGTGTGTGTGTGTGTGTGTGTGTGTGTGTGTGTGTGTGTGTGTGTGTGTGTATGCATATGTATATATCAATGTATATATCATCTCATCCTTTCCCCCTTGAATGTTGCAGAATGTATACTTGAGATAAGTTCCAAAAAGGTTGTGAGTTAGTGTGTCTTCTCAGGTTCCTGAAAACTGTTCAGACATGCAGTGAAGGAGAAGCACCACAGAGCAGCAGTGCCCGGCAGGACAGAAGGTTTGGGGCTAGGCTTTCCTACTATGGGCCTTGCTGAGCCCCTCAGTAGACATATGACAGCTCCCAGGGTCTGTGTGGAAAGTTCCAGGGGGTTGATCCAGACTCAGGCATGGGGGATGAAAACAGAGGGATGGGGGGTGTCTCCAGGCTGCTCCACAGAATGCCCAACACACTGGAGGTGATCTGCCAGTCAGCATTTAAGGTTTAAGTCTCCTTAGATGCTTGATCCACCCATCTCCTGCCACTGGAGCACTTCTTTATTCCTTTTCAGAGGAGCAGCATGGGCTCCTGGGAAGCCTGAGGATATACAGGCCTGGGAGAAGGAGATAGGACTATGTAATGTAAACATTTTCAAGAGAATAGAGAATACATTTGAGATTCTCTCCTTTAAGTTTTATCTGATATGTTGGCAAAAGATCGCATCTCTTAGTGAGGCTGCATCCCACATAGCTGGCATTGATCCCAGGATCCTTTGCTGAATCCAGTAGGCAGCCTAGATAGCTTTCCTATGTGGTTTCTCTCTGTCTCCACACAGGTCCTTCCAGCACCATCAGTGCAGCCTCTTCAGCTCCTGGTCAGTTCATCACCGTGTCTTTTGGAATAACAGCTCCAGCAGCTAACAAATGGACCTTAGGAACCACTCAGTTTCTAGAAGGCAAAGGGTCAGAGTGGGACAGAATTGCTCCAACTACAGTAACCAGCAAAATTATACCTTCAGTCAAAGGAAGACAAACCCCAAGAACAACCAGAACAACGGTTCTAGAGACAAGCAGCAGAGAGGTGGGCTCAGTCAAGGCAATAGTCCCCACTGCAGAGAGTCCAGCATCAGAACCCAGAAGCATACCCACAACATTAGAAAGTGTTTGGATATGGGGCACCAGAAGCTCAGTAACAATTAGAGCTTCCAAGAGCGAAGGTGGGAGGACAAAGACAACTTCAGAGACTAAGAGGCCACAGGAGGAAACAGAGGTCACAATATCTACAGATACAGTCAGGAAGACCACAGGAACCACTAGACCATCAGCTCTCATCTCAGAGCATGTGGCCTGGGAAACCCTCCCAGAAGGAACAGTGGTTTCTAAGCAACAAGCCCTTTACTCCACAGAGGAATCTTCCCTGACTCCAGGTGCTTGGGCCTTGAACACTACACATGTAGAAGTGGCATCTGTAGAAGGAAGCATCACTGGGAGCCTAGGAAGTACTCCTGAAGAAAACGGCCCCCCAGCAAAGCCAAGCCAGCTGCCGGCATCAGGCCCTAAATGGTCCCCTGGCAATGGGTCGTCCATGAAGAGGTAAGCCATGGGACCCCAAACCTGCCCTGTTCCTGGCAAGCCCTTCCTTCTGCTAATTTCTTTCCTTTTGCACCTGCAAATCGGTAAAGGGTGGGGTACCTGAAGATCAGCTACCACGTTCTATACCTCCTCCGTGTCCTTGCTGTGGGAAGGCTATCCAAATACTTTCATGTGGTCTGCAAGCAAATCTAAGTGATAGGATGAAAGAAATTTTAGGCTGGAATTCTTGGGACTTTTTTTTAATGTGAGGAACAGAGCTCTAGAAGGGAAGCAACTTGCTGAAAGGATAAGGAAAAATTGTGGCAAGGCCAAAGGCCAAGGCTCTGACTCTCGTTTTCAATATGGCACCCTGTGACTCATGCACAGGAGAGAGGAGTAAAGCAAGGATTTGGGGCTTAAGCAACTGAAGATAGCAGCTAGTTATAGGAACAAAGGCAGACAATTTGCCTGGAACTCAGCTTGTCCACCTGTGAAATGGGAGGAGTGGACTACACAGTCTAATCTTCAACCTGGCTTCAGCCTCGCTTTGTCTCTGCTCTTCCCATCCTTGACTCCTTCTTCCTTAGTGTTTTTCCAGAAAAAGAAAGCAACTCTTGGATCCTGACTCCAGTCTTCACTGTGCTAGCCCTGGTTCTGTTTGTGGCTCTGTTCCTATTGCAAAGGAGAATCTGGAAAAAGAGGACCTGTGAGTTGAGTTTTAAGTAGCCCCAAGGCAAAGGAGAGTAAAGTTCCTTCCCATCAGATACATACAGGGCTGGCTAGGGTCAGACTGAGTATCAGGACTTTTGGATACAGATAAACTAAACTCTAGTCTGAACCATTTACCCACCCTAGTTCTTGGTGTCTTAAAGTTCCCTTTGTGCTTTGCCTCGGTGGAATCCCTGGGCTCAAGGGGAAGCTCTTTGGAGGATGGTGGGAATTATGTTGACTCAGGTGTGGGGCCACACCGGCAGCCCTAGTGGCAGAGCATAGGCATGTCAGGGCCAAAGCCTGCATGTAATCTTCCCCCACAGCCTGCAGTGATCTCAAAGCAATGTTCCCAGGCTGAAGATCTGAGGGCTCCTTGGTGTATGATCTTTGGGAAAAAGGCAAAGCTTTCTGGGAGCCAGTGGGAGAGGCTGAGGCCAGGGACTGGATGGTCTGGACCGATCACTGTCATGCTTAAGGGCTCACTCCCTAGTCTCTGTGTCTGGAAGCTCTCAGAAATATGCAGAGGAGATGGTTCTTAGGAAAGCAAATCAGCATATCCAGCCCAGAATCCTCATAGCCTGCTATATGTCTCTGCAGCTCTGAAGACAGAAATGGCACCAAGGGTCACACTAATTCGGATGACATATTTCCTGGAACCAACTGTGCTAGCAGACCAGCTCCCTGATGTGGGAAAGAATCTTCCTCCGACCCAAGCCATCTTGACTGTTCTGGAAGACCCAGGACCCTAAGGATGGAAAGATAAACAGCTCAGTCACCATGGAAGGAGGACCAGGACCAAATACCCCCATGGTTCCTCTATTCCTTTCTCATCTTCCTTTGCCTACATGAGCACAAGCTAATGGAGCTCACCCCTCCAGCCGGGGAAGCAGAGGCCTAGCAGCTTGGGTCTCAGAAGGGCAAACATTCTCCACAGACAAAGTTGACAGTATAATGACTCAAAGAAGGTTTCAGGAAAAGCTGTTCTGTTACTGCTCAGTTTGCTGCCCCTTACAAACATGCTTTTCTTTCTGAAGAAAGGAGAGAGAAAAGAGGGGGGAGGGAGAAAAGACAGATCATAAAAGTGAAAGAGAGGCAAGAAAGAGAAAGAAAGAAAGAAAGAAAGAAAGAAAGAAAGAAAGAAAGAAAGAAAGAAAGAAAGAAGGGAAGGAGGGAAGGAGGGAAAAAGAAAGAAAAAAGAAGGGTTTATAAATACTGGAATAGGGGGCTGGAAAGACAACTCAGTGGTTAAGAGCATTGGCTGATCTTATACAGAACCTAGGTTGAGTTCCCAGCACCCACACAGGAGCTAACAACCATCAGTAACTCCAGTCCCAGGGGACAACACCCTTTTCTGGCCTCCGCAAGCACTGCACACAAAACACTTGTATACATAAAATAACAATAAATAAATATTTTTTTCCATTCTGGAAGAGTTGATGTGGAATCTCTATTTCTGGCAGTGTGGAAATTGAGAAATTCCATGCCACCATTGCTGCTTCTCTGGAGCCCCTTTTCTATGTCTGTTAGTACTAAGCCTGCTCCTCACACTCAAGAACGTTCCTATATACCAGAATCACCTGAGCAAGCATGACCTTAGCACCTTAAGGACAGTAATTGTGTTCTATCCATTTCACTACATCCCTAGAGAGCTGCCAACTCAGTAGAACCCCCATAAATTAAGTATCTGTGACTGGTGGGCTGCCTGGGAATAGCATGAGCTTGGTGGACTCTGGGGATCCACTTGGGCAAGAGGTCTGAATCCCAAAGGGCCTCTGTCCCTTTCGCTTGGGAGTTTTCTAGACGACAGTATCATCAGCAGGTAGTTCCTATGTAAGGCCAAAGGAAAGAGTGCCCACTCCTCAAAACCACATCTCCATATTTGACCCTGCCCTCATTACACTGTAAACCTTTTGACCAAGTCAAGATTTTCTGGGATTTTCCCTAGCACCTTATAAAACCAAGTATAGACCCAAAGTGGAGTCTTGGCACTTGGGAGATGCAGGCAGAGGGTTCAGAAATTCAACATCATCCTTAGCTACATAGGGAGTTTGAGGCTAGTCTGAGCTAAAGACCCTGTCTCATTCAATCATAAATAATCAAATAAAGTGGTTTTGTTCACACACACACAAAAATATTTTCTGGGATTTCCTAAAGTTATGGAAGAAGAGGGTACTTCTCACTAGGTTTTCACCTTCTTTATAACTTTCTTGTTCCACTGTTTATAAATCTTTGATATCAAGGGTTGTGAAAAAAGTTGGAAAATAGTTTAGGAAGGGCAGGGAGAGTGACAAATGAGAGGAATTTTATCTGGATTCTGCCTTATAACCACATCTGTTGGGGAACTTTTGTCCCACTCTTGACCCTACCATTTTTTCCAGGAATACATCTGCTCTTTCTCTTTGCCAGATTTGTTAGCAAGTTGCCTGTATTCTGTGTCTGGACAGTGTAGCCCTTGAGCAATGGAAGCAGAGGGAGGAAAAGTTGCAACATCAAGTCGAGAACCATAGTGTTGACATCTCCAGAAGGTTCAGCTTTGCCTTATAAGCTGTCAGTGACATCAAAGTTCTTCAGCAGTACTTCATGGCCTCAGATCATAACCCCAGACAGTACACAAAGAAAGCCAAGGAGAGATGTCATCGGGCCTTATGAGGGACTCTTGCTTTAGATAAGGAGAGAGGCTGAATTCATATAGTCAAGTGAAGTCACTGAATTTCAGAGCTAATAGATCCACAGTCTAAAACCCTCAGTCTGGAAGTAAGGGAAGTTGAGGCCCAGTGGGAAAAGTTATGTGTCTGAGGTCATTCAGTTAACCAAGCTAGTGGAACCAAAGTGAAGACTAGAGGACTCATAGCTAGTATTTTTCCACTTCATCACTGTTAAGCAGTGTAACAAAACAAAGCTCACAACCATTCCTCCAGACTAGTTTCTGAGTTATCTTAGAGCCTGCCTGAAAAATCTGTAAGAAAGACAGGAAAGACACCATTGTCCCATTCCACTAATGAGCAAGCAGCTCCTGATAGTTCCATAATTCAGTCAAGGCCACTCTGTTTATTGATGGCAGGGATGGGCCAAGAATCTAGGCTGCTTGGTCTGCTTTAACCAGTATTTACCAGGGATGTCCATGGGGCATCAGCTTCTTGGGATGTTAAGAAGTAGTTAGAGGGGCTGGGGAGATGGCTTGGCGGTTAAGAACACTGACTGTTCTTGCAGAAGACCTGGGTTCGAATCCCAGCACCCACTTGGCAGCTAACAACTGTCCATAACTCCAGTTCCAGGAGCTCCGACAGCCTCTTCTGTCCTCCATGGGCATTGCATGACATGGGTGCACTTACCTACATGTAGGCAATGCATGCATACCCATAAAAATAATAAATAAAATATTTTTTAAATGTCCATATGAAGACAAAGAAAGGCTAAGGAAGTGTCCGGGCCTGAAAAAGACTAAGGAAACAGGCAGTGGGACATGGCTGTGATCTGAGCTTGAAAAATAATATATAAAATAAAAAAAGAAGCAGTTAGAAGAAAGTACATTGTAGGAGACAAAGAAGTTTGGGGAATTCTGGGTTAAACAACGGATTCTTCTGTGCAGAGCTTCTCAGAGCCTTTACTATCCAAAAGAACATGGTAAATGACACTGAGAGTAGGCACCTATGTGTTGGACTATTGTGCTTGGTAAAGCAATCTAATTGAAGTGGAGTTCCTCTGATCCCTGAGTAGGGACGACAATACATTAAACCAGAAAATGACCACCCTTCTCTGTAAAAGGCCGGACAGCAAATATCTTGTAATTTTCAGGTCTGCAGTCCCTACAGCAGCCACTCAACTCCTTCTATATAAAGCGAAGCAGCCAGAGAGGGCACCCAGCTACTGGCTACCCTGCATCCCAATAAAACCTACTTTCAGAGACAGGAGACTGCGTTTGGCCTTTGACCATAATTTTCAATCTGTGAATTAAGCTGTAAGACATACAAAACTTTAAAAAAACATGATTTGTTTAATGTGTATGGGTCTTTTGCATTTTTGCATACATGTACACTGTGCGTGCGTATGTGTGTGTGTGTGTGTGTGTGTGCACGCACGCGCACACTTGGTACCCAGGGAGGCCAGAAGAGGTCTGATCCCCTGGAACTGGTAGTTGTAAGCTGGCATGTGGATGCTAAGAATTGAACCCAAGTCCTCTACAAGAGCAGTGAGTGCTATTAACTGCTGAGTCATCTCTCCAGCCCCCTACACAAAACTATATTATACTCTTATCTGACCTCAAAGATGAGACCCATCTCTTTAAGAACTTCCTGGCTGCCCCTTGCTGGAACATCTCCCTCCTCAGAACTTCTCTGATTCTTTTTGTCCTGAACTGAACAGCTGCGGTGTCTGTCTGCTGCCCCGTCTTTGTAGAAGAGGGGAGATAGGAGGGAATCAGCCCCGGAGGCAAGGGGGTTGGCCAGTTGCTGGAACCAGTAAAGCTTTCAAATACAGGCAAGGGTGTTTTAGAGAAAGTTGAGATCCACTAGGGGGAGGCCAGCAGAAGGTCAATCTCAGGGCCAGGTGTTTAGAGGGAGGCAGATATAAGGTCTGATTAGAGGTACAGGGAAGGAAGTGGAAGAGCCACTGTTTACTATTCTCCTTTATGGGCCAATCATGCATGAATGGGGCAGGGCTGTACTTAAAGGGCCAGAGACAATGAACACAATTCCCTTGCCACTTGGTCACTTGGTGAGGGGTAGGGAAAACTTCCCTACTGTGCTAGAATCAGGGGCACTGCCACTGGAAAAAGAGAGAGAGAGAGAGAGAGAGAGAGAGAGAGAGAGAGAGAGAGAGACTGACTTCCAATTGAGTATGCAGGGAAGCCACTGATTTTCTCAAGGTCAAGCAGTTTCAGGACCCAGCTCTAAGTCTCCTTCCCTTTCTACTCATTAACATAGCTACTTCTTGTTCACATCTCTCTACACAGCCCATTCAGTGTGCATATGATATATTTCTAAAAGGTAGCGGTGGCCATTCCCTTCACAGCCATCAAGGGAAAAGCAAGCTGGAATTTGTGACCCAGCTGCAGTCTCCATCCTTGATCACTACCATTTTGCCTCCTACTTTGTTTACATTTTACTGATAGCCTTGACATCTTGTCAGACCTTTCCAACTTAGGCTTCCTCTTTCTCTCTTTTAGAGTTGCTTCTTTCTCTCTTTTAGATTCTTGTGTGAAAAGTTACATAATCACTTCTAGTAAGTTATTCTCTTTAGTCACTAACTACTTTATTCCTTTCTGAGTTTAGTGAGACATGGGGGGGCGGGGACTGTTCAGGAAGCCAGACCAAAAGCTAAAAATTCAAACACTAGCTCTGAGGTCCTTACTGGCATTTATACAAATGTCAATGATCTATGAGAGAGTCTATGTATCTTGGGTTACTCTGTACAAATACTTCTCACTGGCCCTACTAACACTTCAGAAGTTGTCTGTTCTTCAATAGTTAGGGTTGTCTGAGAAATAAGGAAAAAGGTGCCTCCATCTAAAGATACACTATAATGCATGCCCGTCAAACAGATAAGGAGTTTCTGATCATCCACCACTATGTAGCTACTCTAGATCTAGCAGCTTGACAGACATGGTTTGGAGACTACATGGAAGGATGTGGACTCTGTGAGTGACTGTGCATGCCGGGGCCAGGGTCACCATACTGCCCATTCTTCATTAAGTGTCACAGTTTGGCCAGGTCTTCCCAGGTCAGCTTGCTCCCTTCCTTATCAGCAAGAA